TGTTTGTTCTTGTTGCTATTAAACACATTAAACTTCCCACAATTTGCTTGTAAAGGGTGCTATCGACCTTCCTTCCTTCTTGATCTTTACTTAGCTTCAGACCAAACTCGGTTGGTGTGCTCACATAATTGCAATTTTTCATCTGAAATGTTTCTAAAATTTCTTGCACATATTTCTTTTGAGAGTAAAATCCCCAGTAGCAGATTGCTTCACCTCAATACCAAGGAAATAATGCATCATTCCAAGACCAGACATATCAAATTCAAACATCATGGATTACTTAAATTCGTCAAACATGACACTATCATTTCCAGTGAACATAAGATCATCCACATATTAACACACAATGAGCATTTTTCCTCCATCACCAATTTTGATGAAAAGTGTATGTTCATATGGACATTTTTTAAAACCTTTCTTCTGAAAATAAGCATCAATACAACAATACCAAGCCCTTAGAGCTTGTTTTAGTCCATATAGAGCCTTTTTTAATTTATACACTTTATGCTCATTTCCAATCATTAAATAGCTAAGAGGTTGATCAATAAATACATGTTCTTCCAAGTCTCCATGTAAGAAAGTCGATTTCACGTCCAACTAGAAGATAGGCCATGAGTTTTGGGTTGCCATTGCGATCACCAATCTGATTGTATCATGCTTTGCCACAGGAACAAATACTTCTTTGTAGTCACCACCAAACTCTTGCTTATAGCCTTTAGCTACTAAGTGTGCCTTGTATTTGTCAACTTTTCCATTTCTCCTTCAACTTTGTCTTGTACACCCACTTGACACCAATTGTTTTGTGTCCTTTTAGAAGATTGGTCAACTCCCTAATGTTGTTCCTTTTGATAGCTACAATTTCATCATCCATCACCTTCTGCCATTTTGATTCTTTGATTGCTGCTTCAAAAGTGGTAGGATCACAATCTACAAATAGAAAAAAAAAATTGAGTAATTGGGTCCTTAGATTGGTCAATTTTGATTACTTCACAATCTGACATCCATGCAGGATGCCTTCTAACATGTTGAGGATGTGAAACATCTACTGTAACAATCTGTTCATCAGGTTTTGTTGCTACTGATTGAGTTTCAGTGGTTGTTGGTATTTGATTTTAAGGAGTGTCAAGTTGTTGCAAAGACTGCTATGTTATTTCTTCATCTGTACCATCAAAAACTACTAGAATTTGTTGTTCAAGGGTGTAGTCCCAAGACCATGTCTTTTCTTCATCAAAAACCACATCACAACTGATGAAAATTTTCTTAGTGATAGGATTAAACAATTTATAAGCTTTTGAATAATCACTAACACCAAGAAAAATGCATTTTTCACCTTTGTTATCTAACTTTCTTCTTGTTTTCATCTGGAATATGTGCACATGATATACACCCAGACACCCGAAAATGATCAACAATTGGTCGACGCCCACTTCATGCTTCTTCAAGGGTTATATTTTGACTAGCTAGTGTAGGGCTTATGTTCAAAATATAAACAATCCAATTAACGGCTTCAACCAAGAAACTTTTGGGAAGACCACTCCTTTGTAATAAGCTTCGCACCATGTTAAGGATTGTGCGATTTTTTCTTTCACACACATCATTTTGTTGAGGTGTATAGGTTGCAGTCAGCTGCCTTTTAATTCCATGCTTGTCACAAAAATCTTCAAATTCTAGTGAGTTGTACTCTCCACCACGATCTGTACGAAATAGTTTAATTTGCATGTTGGCTTCTTTTTCAACTAGTGCTTTAAACCTTTGAAAGTTTGTAAAAGCTTCTGATTTGTCTTACAAAAAATAGATCCAAGTTTTTCGACTAAAATAATCAATAAATTATATAAAATACCATTTACCTCCATTTGACATTGGTTTGATCAGCCCACACAAGTAAGAATGCACCAGTTCCAACGCTTATTTTACCCTCCAAGACTTTCTTTTTGGAAAAACACTTCGATGTTTTTTGCTAACAACACATTCTTTGCAGATTTCTGAGGAAGAGTTGAATTCTGGAAAGCCTTCCACCATAATTTTCTGTTGCAAGGTCTTCGATCCACCAAAACTAAGATGGCCATAGTGAAAGTGCCATAACCATGATGTATTTTTCAATTTTGTAGCAAGACATGAATAGGTGGTATGATGAAGATACAAAGGAAACATCCTATTTTCTGTCATCTTTACTTAAGCAATTAAGCCTGAATTTTCATCTTGAATTTGACAAACTCCATCCTTGACAGAAATCTCATATCCCTTTTCCTAAAGCTAGCCAACACTAAGCAAGTTAGTTTTTAAATCTAGAACAAATAGAACATTGGAGATAGAGTGAGAATTCCCTTTAGTTTGAATTGTAACCCTTTATTTTCCCACAACAGATACTGTAGAGTTATCACCAAACTTTTCAGTATTTTGAAAGGATTCATCCAAATCAGAAAATACTAATTTGTCTCCACACATATGGTTGCTACAGCCGGTATCCAAGTACCATAAATTCTTATGGGTTTCCTCATCTCTGTGACACAACATGAGGAGGGAAATTTCTTTGTTCTTCATTTTTTACAAAGTTAGATTTTTCACAGCAATTTCTATTTAAATTGATTCGGCACTTAAACCGATAATGGCCATACCTATGACAATGATAACATACAACCTTAGACTTGTCTGCTAACTTTGGTTTATGTCCTACAGAATTTTAACCATCACGACCCTTCCAGTTTCCTTGTGAGGCAGCACCTTTATTCTTTCTACTTCTCTAGTGTGCATTCTTGCCTCTTCATTCTCCCTTTTCAAGTGCAAGATATCTTGATTTGTTGTTGCCTGCAATGCTTGTTCTTCTTTGTCTTGCTGGGTTATTTTTGCTCATGCACCAGCAACAAATTTTGTAACTCATCTATTGAAAGAGTATCAATGTCTTTAGACTTTTCAATAAGATAGATCACAAAATTGAACTTTGACGTCATTGATCGAAGGATCTTTTCAACGATAGTGACATCCTCAAGCCTCTCCCCATGAATCTACATCTTGTTTGTAATTGCCATTGTCCTAGAGAAATACTCTGAAACTGAATCTCCAAACTTCATTTGAAGAGCCTCAAACTCTCGACAAAGTGCTTGGACCTACACATGCTTTGCCCTTGCATTGCCTTGATACTTCTTCTTCATGAAGTCCCAAATTTGCTTAGAGGTAGTGTTGGAGTAAGTGCCCTAGAGCCAATCAATTATTGTGGAATTGACTCTTTGTAATGATGTTTATTAATCAATAAAAGGCATTATCTACTATATCATGTAAATCATAGTTGTATATATTGATATATGTCCTTATGATGGTAGAACCGTGACAAGGGTATGCAGTGCTTCAAACCTTGATAGTGAGAACCCTATGAGCACATATGGTGGCCATTCTAGAAATGTCTATAGCCCCAGTATTATTCTGACCAAGGACACAGATGATATGATAAGGTTATCATAATGTTGAACAACCCTACCGAAAGGCAGTGATTGATCTCACTTGTCAAGATTGTTTGCCGACAACCTGGTGCAACACATGGGTGTTTGCTGTAGGGAAGTTCACTAGACTGACCCACTAGAGGATTCCATATAGATGGTAACCCCAATGTCTATGGAACAAATCCTCTAACGAATGGTGGTACATGTGATCCTTAGACTTGAGATCACTAGAGCACCTTATGCACCGATTGGTGTAGTTTGACACTAGCCCAACACAATTCTATTTAAAGCTGTCAATACGGTAGTGATTGGCTGCATCGAGCAGTGTATCAAGACTATGGTGGATCAACAGAGGATTCATCACTCCTAGGTATGAAAGAAGTTATCTCACGGCGCAATTCAGCTAATGACTATGACAATAAATCTGTGATCATAGTGGGATTGAGTTGTTACTCAATCTAATTTATTATTTCGGTCATTGGCCTAGTAACTGAATATAAATATATTGAGGATAACTAAGGTAGACACTATTTATATGCCTTAGTCTTGATGAGATGACAGATGATGAAAGGATTTGATTACACGGTAACCATATCGTTGATAAGTAGCTATTTTGCTGAATCTGAATCTATCAGGTGGCCATGATGCCTTACTAGGGGCTAATCTTGGTGTGTGAGTAGCGAGACGATTGATTGGTGTCAATCGCGATACTACTCACTATTGGTATGATGAGGAGCCTATGGGTCACACACTAAGGAGACAATTTAAGGATGGTTAACTATGAAAGGTATTTTTGTCTTTTGGATGAAAGGGCATGTTGGTAATTTTGTTGTGTAATTAAATTTACTAGAGTTGTTGCCTGTGTCCAATTTTATTGGAATAATTTAGCAAAATTACGAGTTTAATTATTAAAGTTAATATTAATATTTAATTAAATAATTAAATAGGGACCTATGTGCGATTCCACCTAAGTTTGGGTTGTTGCTAAACTTTGGGGTTGGAATTGATATTTGGCTTTTCTATATAAAGAAAAGCAAAATAGGTTTTAGAGAGAATTCATTCATTCACTTTTGCTTCAGCAGTGAGAGTTACAGTTTTTTAGAGAAATATTTTCTCTCTTCATCTCTTTTCACTTTTTATCTTTCCAAACCTTGAAACCTTAAAGCCAAGGATTNATAAATTTGAAAATAATAAAAACCAAGATAAATTGTGTATCTATGCCAAATATGATCTCTCCTAATTAAGTAATATGGATCATGAACTAAGCAGTTATTCGTTATTTCATAACCCATTATTTATTTTCATGATTCAAAAGATTTACAGTAACAAGGACTTGATTTGTTGAACTTACTTTTCTGTGACCATGCATATAGATATTATCTGCATCTATTGAATCAAACTTAGATCAAAATACGTTTTGTCTAAACTACATGCTCAGATCTTTTAGTTTCCCTATTTTACTCTCACACAAACTAACTAGATCTGAAAAAAAAAAAAAAAAAAAAAAACAGAGAAAACAAAAACATCGATTTATGGAAATCAAGAACATTGAAGAGCTTACAGCTTTGAAGGTGTTGCAGAACTCTGAAGATGAACTCAGAACCGATGGGTCAAAGAAAGTAAAAGGTCCTCTGCGCTGTGAACTGAAGAAAAGGAATAGTGTCTGATCTCGTTCTCAATTTAGACCTGGCAAAACGGGCGGGTGGTCTGGTTTCGGGTCGGTTCAAAACGGATACGGGTCATATAGGGTCGTTATATACGGGTCCAAAATCTGAGCTGAAATGACTAATCCGGCAGATCAGCAATGGCAATGGTGATGATTGAAGAGTTCACGTTGAAGACTGGAAGACTGGAAGTTGAAGAATGAAGCGCTGAAGCAGAGTAGAGCAGACTGCAGACCGAAGACTTGAAGACTGAAGAGTGAAGACGCGAGGCTGAATCGCTGAAGCTTAGCTGAAAGCTTAAGGAGATCTGACTTCTGAGATCTCGAATGGAGGACATGAAGAGGAGGACCAGACTGGAGAGTGGAGGAGATCGCGAATGGCAGTAGCAAACCCAGATGAAAGTGAAAAATTAAAGAAGGGGCAAGACGGCTCTGTATCTGTAGCTCAAAAGGAAATTGAAAATGTGTTAAAAAATAAAAATTTTGAGGGTTTGGTTTCAGTTTGACAATTTGACTTTATGTGTGCGCATGTGGTTTTTAATTTTTAATTTTTAATTTTTTTTTAATTTCATGTGTTAAACCGGAAATCTATTAAATACCGGTTGGACCGTCAGTTTGCTACAATGCAACAGTCCAACCGCGGTTTAAAACAGCTTGACAGTAAATCCCAGTTATTTGCTCTCTTCAAACCGGAAATGCAAGCGAGTCCCGATCGGACCGGTTTGACTGCCTGGTCCGGTCCGATCCGGGTTTCAAAACCTTGGTTTAAAGTATCATCGACTATAAAAATTTGACTTTTCAATTCTTTAAATTTGTTAATAAATTTTTGCGTACAAAATAAATTTGTATTTATTTTACGTGCTAGATTTATAACAAAATGAATTTTAGAATTCAAAATAATAATTAGAGTTATTTGAAGAAATGTTTTATATGTATAATCATGTGATTTATGCCTAAATACACTTCATAGTTAAGAAGATTAAAGTTATGCTTGTTGCTTTGCAAATTAGGCTCTGCATATTGTAAACAACAACAAAGAATATATTTACCTGCCCTTCAAGGGAAATCCAGAGAGATTGGACACCTCTTTTAAAGTCTTCACCCACATTTCCACTTTCTCTATCTCAAAACGTTCTTTATGATCGGCAAATGCTTCTTCAAACACTCCTTCTTGATATCTTGGCTCGTATGGCTCCACATCATAGAAAATGGGAAAGACTATTTGTCCCATTGTGTTTTTACATTTCACAATTTTCACAAGTTCATCCAAACATTGGATAGAAGAAGCATAACTTTTAGAGAAAACAACAATTGAAATTCTTGATTCTTCAATTGTTTTGTCTAGTTCCAATGGAATGGGCATTTCTCTTTCAAATTCTTTGTCACCCTTAAAAACTTTAAATCCTTTCCAATCAAAAGGTTTATAAGTTTATTTTTGGGATAATCAATACTATGTTTTGAGAGCCAACAGAGTCGATCTCGCCAAAAACCTGATGACAAAACGAGCAGAAAGCGGCATAGGGCCTATACGCCGTTTTACTCAGTTTTTTCTGCCACCAGTAATGGGTCTCGATTTTGGCTGAATCGAGCACTAGTTTTGGATCTTTTTGTTTTTGGTATAATCAATACTATGTTTATACAGCCAACAGAGTNGGGAGGGTGTGTTTGTTAATTTTTTAAAAAAAATTCAGGGGGCATTTAGTGAAATTAATAACCTTATGGGGTCTAAAAGTAATTAAAAAAATAGGGTAATATTTCTAGAATAGTGTGCCAAACATTATTTGGAGAAAATGATTGGAAATATGGATAAAAATAGGGAGCCAAACGTAGCCAAAGTTATTCCATTCATCGAAAGAATTGCTACCTTTCAAAAAATAAAAATAAAAACAAATAAATGGCAACAAAAATATATATAATATATATACTACATGTGCTTTGCTAATTAACCTCTCTACTCTACATCATCTATACTGTAAACAACAATAACTAAATAAAGTTAATAGTAAACAAGAATTAAGTTATGCTTGTTGCTTTCAAAATTAGCTTCTGCATGTTGTAAACAACAATAAAGAGTATTTATTGCAAGGAATTAAGATTAAAATTTTTTACCTATCCTTCAACTGCCTTCCAAACAGATTGGTGACCTCTATCAAAGCGTTCCGCCATGTTTGGACATTTTCTATATGGTCCGCAAACACTTTTTGATGTTGACCAATAGCTACCTCCAACTTTGTTATTACCAGGGATGGATTCACATCATAGAAAATTGGAATGACTGTTTGTCCCATTGTGTTTTTACATTCCACAATTTTCACAAGTTCATCCAAGCACCAAGGTGAAGAAACATAATTTTTTGAGAAAACAACAATTGAAATTCTTGATTCTTCTATTGCATTAAGAAGTTCACGTGAAATGGGTTTTCCTTTTTCAAGTTCTATGTCGTCTTTAAATACCTTAATTCCCTCTCGAATCAAACCATTATATAGATGATCTGTAAATTTTTTTCGAGTATCTACACCTCTGAAGCTTAGAAAGACATCATATTTCCAACTAGTGGAGGAAGCAGATCCATATGAAGAAACTCTTTGGATTCTCATGGGAGAAATAATTGATTTGAATCAAATAGCTTTGTTTTGGGCAAGTTACGATTGTGTCTATGCAAACAATTTCCTCCTGTGCAAATAACAGAAAGTTAGAAAACAACTAATTTTATTTTGGTCAAATTAAAATTTGATTTTGGTGTTTAATATGCGAAATTAAACTTAATTAACATATTCAATTGGTTGGCAAGAAAAGGAATAAAGCTCTCTTGTTAATCCAAAGATAAATTTAAGCTCAGCTTCACTAAGAATATAAAAGTATGCATGTTTCTGATATGGATATTTAATATCTAAACTCAAGCAAACCAAGCAAAAACATGTTTTCTTCTCATAATCAAAATAAAAACAGCAACAACGTTTAGGATTTTTCAAAAAGAATTGGCAAGATGATTACCAGAAAACGAATAAAGAAAGAATTTAACGATATATTATGCATTCAACAAAAATTTAATAGCTCGACCATGAAACTTGTTATTACTAAAAACATCCTAAAACTGTTGTTGTACAATAAATTAAGCCGGAATCTGTCCTATCTCTCTCAGCCAAATAAGTAATTACACATATTCCAGCTCATTTTGTACCAGTTTTGGGAAGCTGTCTAACCAAGACCATTCTTCATACATATTCACAGATGCAAAATAAAATAATGTCACTGATAATGCAACTTCTCCAACTAGACCAATGGACTTCCCTGTATCCTTTTTTGGTCAATACCTAGAAATTCCTCGACCTCGACTTTTCCTAAGTGTTCACTAAGTTCTAATCTAGAGCCACTTCCAGATCCTACAACCTTGGGAGCTAGAAAATTTGTGGGATGTAATATCACAATTAAGTAAAAGGCTCTAATTCTAAAGGGATTTAAACCCTTTACCTTTTAGTTAAAACCGAAGGCTTTTACCACTAAATCCATCCCTTGGGCATAATAGAGCTTCCTAGTAATAGAATTGTAACATAAATTATAGGATACTAAAAAACATTTTTATCTCAATGTTGAGGGAAACTGATATAATCTCATATACTGACAGAACTCAGATGAAAAAGAGAGATTTGTGGAAAAGATTAAAAAACCCAACTCGATTAACTTAAGAATATCTCCAAATTGACCTGTTGGGGTTGCCTTTATACTCAAAAATACAAGAATTAATTCTCTATCAAAGCAAGAAACAATAATCCAACTAGAAAACTAAACCGAAGCAAAAAACCAACTATTTGTTCCCCTGAGTAAAAAAAAAAAACCCCAAAAAAAGAAAAAGAAAACAATATGCTCTGTATTTAAGAAATCCAAGATGTGCAGAAACTTACAGCAAAGAAATCGGAAGGATAAACTTGAAAGCAATCAGTTCCGGTTCAGAAATTTGTTCAGAGAAAGCAAAGGACTTTTGTGTGTTACAGAGAAAACTCGTTCAAAGAGAGCAAAATTTTCCTCTTCACACGCTATGGAGGAATATTAGGAACCGTCCAGGAACTTTCATGCCAATAATTTTACTACATTTCTACTTTCTCCATCTTTTTGCTTCCTTTTTTATTTTATTATTATTATTTTTATTTTTTTTTAATTTATTTATTTAGGAACCGTCAATTCTTTAAATTTCGTTAATAAATTTTCGCATGCAAAATAAATTTGTATTTATTTTACATGCTAAATTTATAACAAAATGAATTTTAGAATTCAAAATAATAATTAGAGTGTTATTTAAAGAAATATTTTATATGTATAATCATGTGAATATGTTATCAAAATAGTTTTTTGAGTTTTTTTCTTTTCTAAAAAGCTTTTGACTGAAAAAATACTTTCAAATTAATGTATGTGCAACGAAAAATACTTGTATAACCAAAAATATGTAATTTATCATTTCAAAAATTATTTAACAATTCTCACTACTTTTTTAGTAGATTAGGATAAATAAAGTCAAAAGAGAGAAAAACCAATTGGAGAATCATAATATATAGGAACTCTTTTATTGGTTTATTTATTCACAAATTAAAAAACCAAAGAAACAAATTAAAACTTAGTTGATATTTAAGAAAAACAAAATAAATTAAAAGCCGTGAAAATACTTGGATTTAAACTATTTTGATTAAATAAAATAAAGGCATATTAATGTTAAAATATAAGTAGTTCTAGAGTCAGTGAAGGCATCAGCCCTCACTAACCCCTTAGTAGCTCTGTCCTTGATAGTAGACCTCGTTTTTAGTTCCTACCTTTGGTACATAATTCAAATAGTAGTAATTATGATCCGTTTGATTGGTTTTTATTTTCATTTAGAACACACAGAATGAAATCATGCTTTAATTTTTATTTTATTTTTTGGATTTGAGTGTAACATTAAGGTGTTAGATTTTCTATCTAGTTAGTCATGATCTCTCACCTTCCTAATCACAAAATATAAATCTAATATCAGAAAAGGCACCAATGGGCTGTTAGTATAACCTCTCTAGTGATTAATTATACGATTTATATTTAAGAAATATATAGTGACTATTAAATCAGACTGTATATAATGTTGGAGTAATGTTTTGATAAGAAATGTGATTTTATATGGATTACAACCTTAATGACATAATAATTTCTAAGTACAACGATTCTTTATTTTATATTTTTGTTCCAATTTTTAAACTTTAATTCTTACATAAACCCTAAACCTAAATTTTCTAAATCATTAACTTTTTTTTTAATTTCAAATCATTCTTTTTTTTTTATGAAAATATATTATTAATGCTATGGAAAATTAATCACACAACAAGATGAATTTAAATCTGGATTTGAAGAAAAGAAAAAAAAGCTAGCTTTAAATTTGAAATTGGGAAAAAGGAGTACTAAAGAAAAAAAAAAAAAAACTAATTAAGAAATTGTGAAAAAGTGGTGTAAATAGAAACCATGTTTAAGTTTGACATGGGAAAAAGAGGTGTAATAAAAAACCCTAATTAAGTTTAAAATTAGGGGGACAATGGGGTAAATAAAAGCCCTAATTAAACATAATTAAGAAAGACTATTTTTGGTACTAAATAATTTAAATAGATTTAGAAAAAATATATATAACATAGGTGTATTTAACAATAAGGGATAGTGACTGTGGTTAAAAATCACTTTCCTTAAATCTTCACCTTGAATTTTGTGTTTGGGCTTAATGGGAGCCCAATTTGATTATCTTTGCCCAAATCTATTTAGGCCTTGGCCCTTTTCATTTTATCCCGACAATTTCTAATATATCTACTTTTAGATTTATTTATATTCATTTTCATGGTTATAAAAGTAGAAATATAAATACAAAGAAAAATATGTTTAAATAAATCTAGTAAATAAATAAAAATATGGAAAAATATCTTTCAATAAAAAAGATTATAGAGTGAACCTAGACCCGATAACTATTTTTTCTTTAATTACAATTTTATTAATTAAAAAAATTACTAAATAAGACGCAAAAGATGTTTAGTCATTATTTAATTCAATAATATTTATCTTTTTTATATTTTAGTATACGATCATTTATATTTTAAATTTTACAATTGATGTTACTTGAATATATTTTTAATATAAGCTCATGTTTACAATTATAATGTAGTTTTAATTATATCTAAATGTTTCTAAAGGATCATAAAGAAATTAGTAATTATTCTTTTAATTGCACAATGGAGAATATAGCAACTTTGTATTGTAAAATAAAATCAAAGATAGATGAATTCATACAAAATTATTTTCTAAACCTGTAAAAATATTTGAAAAAAAAAAAATTCATTTCATGATTGGCTAAAAATCATGGACGAATAATATGTTCAAATCATGGATTTGAACAGTGTAATATGTGGACACTGGAAATATAAATATAAGGGTTATTTTGGAAATAGGTGGAGCTTATATAGACATTTACACATATTTAAAAAAAATTTATAGGTAAATTTTAATATTGAAATCAAAGCATCTAGAAATTTTGGAACTAACTAGAAATTCAAGTCAAATTTATTTATAAGCAGAAGGGGTGAGCACGGGTAGCGGGTAGAACCGGAACCGGGGGTAAGAACCGGAACCGAAACCTACCCAGAACCTGCACTGTGCAGGTAGGTTCCGGTTCCAATTTTTTGGAACCGCTACTATGCGGTTCCGGTTCTGGTTCTGGTTCTTACCCCCGGAGGAACCGGAACCGGAACCGGAACCTGTAAAAAGGGTACCCTGTTTGGAACCTGTAGGGGGTACCCTGTTTGGAACCTGTTTGGAACTTGTTTTGGAACCTATTTTGGAACCTGTTTGGAACCTGTTTTGGAACCTGTTTTGGAACCTGTTTGAAACCTGTTTTGGAACCTATATTGGAACCTGTTTAGAACCTATTTTGGAACCTGGACTATAATGAAATATTTGTGAAATGTAAATAATGGGGGAGTTTCTATTATTNCTGAAGAACTTACAGCTTTGAACGTGTTACACAATTCTGAAGATGAACTCCGAACCGATCGGTCAAAGAAAGTAAAAGGTTTTCTCTGTTGTGAACTAAAGAAAATGCATAGTAAGAAAATGATGGCAGGTATCTTAAAAGTAAATGCAAAAGTGCTTCCACCATTTATCCACCTGACGAGATCACTGCTACACTAACTTTCATAATCAAATTATTAAATAATTCATAGAATAGATATTATCAAACATCAACCAGATTCCAAATTTAATTAATTAACTCTTGGTGGTGGTGTTGGTGCAATGGGATAGAGAATAGTAGGTGATAATTGAAAGAGATTGTTGTCTATGATAAGGTTGCATGATTATTTCAATACCCCAATCACATTTATCTATTTGTTTTGGAGCATAAAAAAGAAAAATTGATTCCCCAAGGAATCATCCATTCAGAATATGACACATGCCAGGATTAAGAGAACAATTATAACTATAAAGAATCTAACTTGTACCACAATTTATATAAATTAAAAACATGGTTAATATAATATCTAGAAATTATAATACTCTCCAATATTAAGAAAATGACTTTTTTTTTTTTTTTTTTTTTGGTTTTCTGATTTTATATCAATTCTCCAATATTAAGACTGTAAACCTCAAGGACGGCCCATTGTAAAAGGTTGGGGACCGTCCTTAAGGAATAAATTTTTTTGCCTACCAAAAAAGTATATTATTATTGATTCTTATAATTTTCTAATAATCGTATTATAACCAAGTGATAAAAGATCAAAAATATTATAGACAAAGATATATTGAAAGTTTAAGGGAAGAAAATTAATATACATGCACAACTTCTGTTTATATATGGTTCAGACTGGCAATCCATGTGAATGCAATCTAAGACGTACAAAAAATAAAGAAACGAACACATATTTATGAATTCTAAACCGTAGGATTAAGAAGCAACGACTTTGTCTCTGAAAAGAACTTTAAAAAATCCCCGTCCTTTCAGTCTAAAGCAAAATCTGAATTTTGATTTTGCTTTGTAATTTAAACGACGTCACTCAACTTAAGTGGATTAATGGACTAAACAGACTTTGCACTTCTGTTACTTTTGTACGGAAATTCATTTTTGTCAGCCTAACTCTGTTAGTCCTTGTCCGTTAATTGTATTTAACTAACTTTTGAACAGTAACTAAATTCTTCATTTCTTCAAAATGGCCTAATCTTCTGTCTACTTTCTTCAAACAGTTATGAAACAAATAAGTCGCCGGGACCATCAAATGTCACTTTGCTATTTGAGGGGCATTTGCTCATGGGGACAATTTTGAAGTATATATTAAGATTATTTTTACAATACGGTTAAAAGTGATTATATTATGAGCTATGATAGTACCAAACGTACCCTCAAATTGTGTCTAAGTGATAGCTCAATGCTCATAATATAATTTTGGTTAATATGGCTAAATTACATGGTTAGCCCAATACACTTTTAAATGATATTATCTTTACTATTAACTCTTTTTTCTTTTCATTATATATAAAGAATTAAAAACAAAAAGTGTTACAATTAAGGAAGGCTTAACTGCATAAGGGCGAGGATGGAGAGTAAGGTTATGTTTTTAATGGAATTATGTGTGACCTAATACTTATAATTGTTAAGATATGTTCTTTGTTTGTTTTTTAAAATTAATGATATCTAAATAAAAGTTTCCAAATTTAATATCACAAGATATCCTCATATTAATTACATTAATTTTATATTATAATTATTGTTGGTGGTCTATTGTGTTTCGTGCAAAATAATAAATAATAGGAAAATTACATTGAAATGGATTACAAATTAGGAAGGATCCATTATTAGTTTGGGCCTAATTGTGGATCATTGTACCCCTTTTCTTGGACTTCGACTACGCTTTCTGAGTAACAACGAGCCACCCCGCGACCTTCACACAAGAGTTCATTCTAAGAGCGACTTGTTGTAGTCTTGTCATCAATAGAGTTAACCAAAGAAGACTAAATGCGAAGTTTGTAGAGAAAAGATGTTGAAGCCAAACATCCAACTAGTTAGTGAAAGTAGACATGTTTAAGAAAAGATACCAAGAGACTTGTAAATGTAAAAGTATGAAAATATCTCCCAAAAAATGTAAAAAAGACAGCAAAGAAAAACCCCAGCAATTGATTATATCCTAATATTCATGTAGGAGGCGATCTCAACTTGTTTTGGATGATTTGTATGGTATTTCAATTCCAATTCCCTGCCATAGTGTTTAGGAGTGATGAATATGATGTTTGAATAGTTAAATTGATAGAGACATGGAGAGAATGGGCTAGGGTTTTGGTGTTTGGTGTTTTGGAGCAAAAATGTCATAGCTTCTCTTTTGGTGGTGAATGAAAGAATAATTGATTATAAGTTATAATTGATTATTAATTGTTGGTAATAAGTGTAGGTTAATATGGTTATTAATATAAAAATCTTAACTTAGAAAATGGTTGACAGGTCTAGTGCTGGAAAAATTGTCAACTATTTTAAGATTTAATGTTGATATCAAAATGATCATATTTAAACGATCTCTCTCTCTCTCTCTCTCTCTCTCTCTCTCTTTCAATTTGGCCATTGGATTCCAGCACCATTGCCCCATTTCTGGCAACCGATTCCGGCTAATGTTTTGATTAAGATATTTAAAACTTTTTCTAAATGAGTAAATTTTAGACTTTATTTAATATTTTATATAAATTTATATTTATTAAAAATAAGGGTACATTAGGTAATTTAATTAATGTGCTCCTTACAATTTTTCAGTGTTTAGATTTAAATTACAAAATTTTACCTTTTCTATTAAATGATTATATCTCAAAACAAGTAATAATAATAATAATAATAATGAACAAATAATCAAAAGACTTAAAACTATACAAACAACCCCTAAGTTTTAGTGTCCGGGGAATGTGACACTGTTTTTCACAAGCATACCCCGTCATTAAAGCATTAGCCAGACTAACAAGACATATATTGTTGGGTACAATGAAAGTATCACATCAATGTAAAATTGTAAACCAACGAAATTAGAAAAATGTACAATCACAATCTCTTCTCATAAATTTCTTCTCACAACTTTGATGTGGTAACTTATAATTAGTTAGTTTATAATGGATCCCACTTGAGTCTCACATGATAAATTCCTGTTGATCAATTACGAACTATCACATCGGGATTGTGAGAAAAGGTTATGAGTGTAACATTACTCATGAAATTAAGTTATTGATACCTTATTTTTTTTCATTTATCCTAAATGAGTATCAATAATTTTTTTTTTTCTCTTATTCAACCTGACCCAAAAAAAAAAAAAAAAAAATTGAAGATGAAATTATTAAAAAATATGGAACTAAATTTTAGGCTTCATTTGGTTCATTATTTGATAATTTTTAAAATAGTATTTTGAAAAAATTAAATTAAATGATCTTTATGAGAAATATAATTATTAATGTTTTGTAAGATAAATAAAATAGAATAAGATTTTAAAAATATTAAAACAAAGACATTTTTTTGTTTTTAGAATATAACACTAGGATATAGTGTAGATATAATATTGAGCCAAATATAGCCTTGATATGAAGAAAAGCAGAAGACCAAGTCAACAGAAATTAAATTATTAAAAGACATTTGTGAAGCTTCGAAGAAGGCTCCTACTTGAAGGAAAAAACTGAAACACCTTGAATTTTTAGTAAAGATCTATAAACTCTATAAAGTTTCAAAATATGGTAAATAGTACCTGTTTTCATCAATGGTCCGTTAAAATATGTAAGGGCTTTTATGATTAGGCAGAATTCATGAAACTTTCCCTTATGAATTACTGAATTATGCACAAGTTTTGAGTAAAAATAAATATAAAAAAACCCTTATGAACTACTGAATTAAGTTTTGAGTAAAAATAAATATAAAAAAATTTATATGTTTTTAATTAATTTTATAAATACGTAAAATTAAAAAAATATGATTGGAAGAAGCCAGTAAGAGAAAATTAAAATTGATAAAGATTAATAATTTAATATCTGGAATGTCTAATAGTTTGCAAAATTTGTGGGCGTTGAGTTATCATCAAAACCTTAGGGGTTTCCATGTAATTTGTCAGTCCTCTGAAGAGAATTAGTTTGGGCCTGACTATACAAGTTTGATTCACTTCACAGCACAAAAAAAAAATCTCTGCATTCCAAGCAAGACAAGACCTGATATTTTGATTTTGTCTTTTGATTTCATTTTAATCTTAGGCAGAAACGTTCTTTGACCGACTGGATTAAAGCTCATCTGTCGGCGAAAGCTGTAAGTATTCTTGTTTTCCTTGAAATCTATGTTTCTGTTTTCTGATTTCATTTAAGGATCTAGCAAATCAAGTTGTCTTTTTTTTGAGTAAATTAGTGAAACTAATCTTACAACTCAGTAGGATCTTAACATAAATATAGCTCGAATATACTTTGATGCAAGTATAATTTTTACAGATCTACACAAGATCAAAGTTTGATCGTAATCTTGGATGTATTTTTTTCTCTGGAAATTATATTTATTTTTTGTTTTTCCAAATTTTCAGTGTCTTGCATAGAAGGAAACTGGTTACATAGACAGACTTGTAACTTGCCTAAACAAATCTAGTTGATTCAAGTCAATTGACAGTTGTTTCCATCATGAGCATTCAAAGAGTCTCTTCATTTGGATCTTCTACTTCCTCTAGTTGGAAATATGATGTTTTTATAAGCTTCAGAGGTGCCGACACTCGACGGAACTTTACAAGTCATCTTTACACTGCTTTAATTCGAAAAGGAATTAGTGTATTTAAGGATGATAAAGAACTTAAGAAAGGAAAACCCATTCCATCAGAACTCCTGGATGCAATTGAAAAATCAAGAATTTCAATTGTTGTATTTTCAAAAGACTATGCTTCTTCTCCTTGGTGTTTGCGTGAACTTGCTAGAATTGTTCAATGTAAGAATACTTTGGGACAAAAGGTGATTCCAATTTTCTATGGTTTGGTTCCATCCGTGGAAAGGGAACACATGGAAAACTTTGATAAAGCGTTTGTTAAGCATGAAGAAGATTTTAGAGATAATATAGAGGAGGTGGAAACATGGAAGAGGGCTTTAACTGATGTGATCAAACTCCGTGGAGAGGATTCGAATGATAGGTACTTAACCTTTATTTCTTCTTCAGATGACTTTATTCAAGTGTCAGCTAGCTTTATTCTTAGGAAGTATTTAATGTTTGTGTTTCAATTCTAGGAAAATTAATAGATGTGCTTAACTTCGTGAAGATGATGTAAAGAGGAAGTAATTATGGGGTTGAACAATAGAAAGTAATGAATGTTTGAAGGAAGAATAAAGTATTGCTAGGAAGGGTGTGAATCCATGTGAAACCGATTCCTTAATTTTATTGCGTATCATTCATCTTTGTTTCTTAAATAGTTTTTCGAATTGCAAAAAGTACTTAATTAAGATTAATCATTGTTTAATTTTTTGTCACACTACTATTTATTAAGACTCGACTCCTCCAATGTGTAAAATATATATAGTATCAATAATAGTAGATATATTGTTGTTAGGATAAGAATTAGAATATGAAGGAAGAATATATAAGAATAAGAATGTACAATGTGAATCCATATATATAAACCTAATCCCTTGATTTTATTCCTATTGATAAGTAATACAGAACTTTCCTTTAGAAAGATGTAATTAAGGTTTGATGATTTCCTTGATTATATATATAGTGTGTCTAAAGAAGAGAAGCAGCCAGTTGAGTGAGTTAAGAATTGGAGAGGGAAAGGGATAACCAGCCTTTAACCTTTTGGTTAATAAGGAAAGGAAAACTTGGCATATATACGTACTCTCACCAATATTGATATCAACTTATGTAGTTGGAGTTATAAGTGAGTGACATTAAAATAAGATTTTTTATTATTATTATTATTATTTTTTTTTTTTTTTTGTGCGATTGATCTATGGTGGCATGCATCATTTGAAAAATATAATTGATTTATTAGGATGGATGATATGAATATGTAAATGGTGAATATATGTGATATTTTATTATTTAGGACAGCAGCTGAGTTTTATTGTTATTTTGCATATTTCAGAAACGAGTCAGAGTTTATTGAAGCAGTTGTGAAAGAAATGTAAATTAAGTGGGTCGACTTCAACATTCATTAATTTCAAGAAACCACTTGCTGGAGTGAATTCATGTTTAGAGAAACTACAAGTACAAGCAAATACAATCAATGTTAAACGGCGTCAATCCACAATGGCCCCACCTCTGATGTCCCTTTTTTTTTTTTTTCTTTCGATGTTTTAGATTAGCACTTAGTGCCCTTTTTGTCTCTATCGATGCTTTTCCACTGTAATTTGACTTTCAAAACCAAACCACGTGATTGGAATAACATTCTAGCAATTTAATTATAAAGGAGGCAGCTTACGTGGTACCTGATTTTATTTTATAAGCTTGGGGGCCTTGGGTTTTGTAGCAATTGATTTGTAATTATAATATTTCCCAATTATTTAATTTAATTTATTATATCTCTATGTAATCCATTGACAACACTAAAAGAATAATAAAAGGTCCTATTTTATTTTTAATTTCCTAGGTGGATGATGAAGACTTCATACATGAATGAAACTTAAAATAGTAATATTTGTTATTTATGTTTTTCCTTTTTCTCAAAAAATTCCTTTTAATGAAAGAATAATCAACTTGAAATCAAAATTACTTATATTAGAAAAGAATGACAAAAATATACACAACTAATAATTTAAGAAATATTTCTTTACTTTGACATTAACTAAACCGAGAGTAAACACATAATAACACATGCACACCTTATTTAGGCTCTATAAGTTTTATTAAAAATTAAAAATAATATAATAACAAGTCTTATATAAGAAGGAAACCTTGTGTTAGTAGTGTTTTGGATAAAGATAAAATAAAATACAATAATTCGATATTTACAAAGAAATTTTACAAAGATCTCCGTATAAAGTGATGTGTCAAAAAATGAATGGAATAGTGAATTTAATAAGTTAAGACAAATAATATAAATTACAAATAACTTGTATCTAAGTAAAAAATTTGTCTTTTTGTCATATATGCCATCGAACACATTTGCTTTAGGAGTGACAGGTTATTTGATGTCTTCTCTATTGAATTCCTCACCATCAATTCTAATTAGTCTGGAGAGTTAACATGTGATCTTCCTCCAAGGGTTGGCTCAAAGAAGGATCCCATTCAAATCCTAATTCTTCATAGACTCCTAGTCTTACATGAACTAATACTCCTAGTCTTACATGGATTAGTACTACGAGTTTCATGCCTACCCTACTTCGGCTACCATAAGAACTCCAAGTTTCATAACGACTCAAGCCACCTTGGCTCACTATATAAATAGAGGTTTGCCCTTTCAAAATTCATTCAATGACAATCCCTCTTGCTTTCTAGTTCTTGCTCTCTCAAAAACAGTCATCCTTAGACTGTAGAGCTGTGTTCTGATCACTCTATGTTAGTAGTCGTGCCTTAGCTCCACGATCACGGCAAACCCTTTCCCACTAGATGCGACTAGATGAAGCTAGGGACTAAACTGATTGTCTGTTGCATGGGCGTCTACTGTCTCAAGCTGGTCCTCATCTTAAGGAGTGGGATATGGCTCGACAGGTTGAGTGTCGTTGCGTCAGTAGAGTCATTTGGAGCGTCAGTCATCGTACAAGGTATATCTGGATCGGTGGACTTCAACCTCTTCCCATCTGATTTCGACCCATGCTCGATCAAGGACGTCTACCATGGTAGTGCAATTGAACCTGGTAAATTCTTTGTAAAGCTCACCGTTAGGGAGGAGGCCTTTTCTAAAGGCATTAATTGCTGCTTCTTGATTGTAGTATGGGATAGGGATGAGCCATGAGTCGAGTAGCTCACGAGCTACTCAGGCTCGGCTTGCCCCAAGCTCGAGCTCGGCTCGAAATCAGGCGAGTCGAGCTCGAGCTCGAGCAGCTCGTGAACAGTGACGAGCCGAGTTCGAGCCGGGCCGAGCTCGGCTCGTCAGGCTCGCGAGCTTAAATGAGCTTAGGGGGCTATTTGCAAGATTTTAAAAGTTTTTTTATTTTTAAGTTGTTAAAATTGCAAATAGCACCCATATAGATAAAACGCAGAAACAGAAACAGAAGTGCAGATTGCAGAACCCATTTCAATTTTTCAAATTGAAACAAAAACTCATAAAACCCATTTTCATTTTTTCGTTAACCCTAAGTCCTAACTCTCTACTACCATTCGTTGTAAATCAGTCACGCCGCCGTCGTGGACAACTTCGCTGGTGCCGAGTCAGCCTCATCTCCGTTCTCTGCAGAGTGCAGACTAGTGATTTCGTTCTAGCAATCCAGCCTTCCAGGTAAGAAATTTGCTCGTTTGATTCTGACAAAACCCGTCTCCCAAGTCCGCTCATTCTTGGCCGCTATGAAGATAAAGAGAAAGTTATAAACAGGGATGAAACTGAGTTTGTGTATACTGAAATGTTGGATAATCCGAAACATCCATATTTTTATTCCGTTGGGCTCGACGAAATCTCGGTTGGGAAAAAGAATATTCCACCTCCTGGGTTTTTAAAAAGAGTTGACAGGAAGGGAAATGGGGGGATGGTGGTGGATTCAGGGACGACTTTTACTATGTTGCCGAAGAGTCTATATGACTCAGTAGTGGTTGAATTTGATCATCGAGTTGGAGGGAGTCATGAGAGGGCTAGCGGCATCGAGGAAAAGACGGGGTTGAGTCCGTGTTATTACTTGGAGAAGGTGGTGAATGTGCCAATGTTGAAGTTGCATTTTGTGGGTAATGGGTCGAGTGTGGTGCTGCCGAGGAGGAATTATTTTTACGAGTTTTTGGATGTTGGAGATGGGTAAGAGAAGAAGAGGAATGTGGGGTGTTTGATGCTGATGAACGGTGGTGATGAGAAGGAGTTTAGTGGTGGGCTAGGGGCTACTCTAGGGAATTATCAGCAACAGGGGTTTGAAGTGGTTTATGATTTGGAGAAGAGAAAGGTTGGGTTTGCTAGAAGGAAGTGCGCATCTTTGTGGGAAAACTTGTTTCTGAGAAGTCTGATTATGATTTCTGATTGTCCGAACTGAACATGTTCATTTAGTAGTATACATAGAATCGTGTTTCACATGCCTTAATTGTGTCCTTTCCTCTCACCTAAAGAAAAACGGAAATAGGAAATAAGTAGATGAAAAATGTATAGAAGGGTTGCTAATATAGGATTGTTTAAATTATGTTGGCAAAGTTTGGTTTGATTCAGAAATCAGTTTTAATATTCTCAGTGGGTTCTACATGGAAAAGAATTTTGACTGGATGGTCCGATTTCTAATGTATGTGATGCTTTGATCTTCTGTTGCAGGGCTATGTTGATAAGTACGTCAAAATGTGAACATTAGTAAGTGTTATTATCCCTGCCAAGAACTACAGATAATTTGCCAGTTTTTTTGACAATGAACACAGTGGTGCGAGCATGGATGAAATTTTTTTAGTTCATTGATAGAATATTAGATTAAAAATTACAATTGCAGTCTGTCTCGAGCTCGATTTCGAGCTCGATCAGGCCCTACACACTCGCGAGCTCGATTGAGCTCGAGCTCGGTACTGTTCATCACAAGCTAAGCTCGAGTACCGAGATACTCGGCTCGGCTCGGCTCGTATACATCCCTAGTATGGGATGTATACCTTCTCTTGGTTAAAGCGCCTAACGTAGTTTCGGAGTGGCTTCCCTTGATTCTAGTGGATTCCATAGAGGTCACTCGAGAGCTTCTCTAACTTCTTTTTGCCAGTGAACTGCTTAAGGAAGGTCTCCGTGAGCTAGGCAAAGGATGCAATGGAGTTGTTTGAGAGCTTAGTGTACTATTGGAGAGTTGGTCCCATCAAGTTGGACTCGAAGTTCGTACACATGCAAATTTCGTAGAGTTCCCAAGGTATGGCAATAGCAAACATCCTCTGTTTGTAAGAGGCGATGTGGTCGTCTAGGCCTATCGTGCCATCGTAAAGGCTCATATTAGGGAACGAGAATTTCTTTGGCATCTTGATGAGGGCAATTGAGTCGACAAACAGTGAGTTGACATAGCTTTGAGGCAAACTCTTTTTAATCAAGGTCGGAACTCTAGG